AGCTAAAGGAACTGATTTGAGAAGAAATTGGATGTACTTCCAATGTAGTGAGTAGCTAACGTACAGATATTATCAAGGAACAACCTCTTATCTTTTGAACGCGCTAAAATACGCAAGTTTTCCTGAACTACGTCATCTAAGATGATAGAACAAGATGCATACTGACTGATCAACTATACCTCCAAAAGCAAATTAAAGCGCGCCAAAAACGCGAGAATAAGGTCAAATATGACTTCTCTAAGTGACCTGTTAAAAACACGGCTTTTTATATTTCATAAAACTTCACGAATGATAAAAGGAGACAGTTTTGAACCTGGTACCATTCTTATTAAAATGATGGTAAGAAAACCGATAAGAATTACAGTGAGACGAACCGTAGTCACTCTTGACTGCAAATCGCACGTCCTTATCTTTCTGATCTTTCGGTTTCGAACGAACATATTTCCTCTTTCGTAGGATCCCAACGGTGCTGAATTAGCATATAGGAGAGATGTTGACTGCCTATACTCACTGACTCACCTGGGTGTAACTTTCTGAACGAGAAGGTACTTTTTCAATGGCAGTTTCACCTTCCTCTTGGTGTAGTGTGAGATCTCTTCGATAAGCAGCTTTGGTGAGCAGACATGAGGTAGTCTGCTTGGATCCGATTGGAAATAATTGCCATGAACAAGCTGAAGAATAAGCTGAACTTTAAAAGATGAAGATGGCAAAACAACAACAATAAGCTACCAAAGTAATGTCCTCCTTTTTCGCTTCATGACACCCATTGCAGAAATATACGTCAAAACGTCCTTCCTTGCAAATATGTGTGAAAGTATAGCAACGATCTGTTCCTGGGGCGTTGTAGAGAAGAAACGGGCGAGATTTGCCCATAGATTGCACAAGGACTGCTGGGAAATACTTATGCGGAACAGAATTAGCGATCAGGACGTCAATTGTATGTTCCTCTACACACGTATCAATTTTCGGCTCCTCCTTCTTGAGATCTACTTCAACTACCTCTTTCGCTTCAACTTCGGAAACCAGCTGAGG